AAAACGAAGAAGCAGTATAGAGATCTGCTCATTGGACTGAGCTTGTTCATTCTCATAACTAATTCCTTTCCAAAGCAAAGATGGAATTTTTATTCTACTTTTTCATAGATCCGAGTGCAGGTGACATTGTTCATAACACATTCCACCACTAATTTCCCATCTTCCAACTTTCTGGTGATTGTGCTCTCCTTCCCATCCCATTCCTGGAGCTGAACCAAGGCACCATCGGTAAAGTTGCAGACACTCTGAGGTTTTCTGCCATCGGCTGTAGTTTCTTCAAACTTTTCTCCCAGGTTACAGTAGAATTGTGTTGTTTTCAAGGTGCTTTCGGTTTTCGGTGAGGGCTTTGCCATCAGAAGTGATGATACAATCTGGCTTGGCCATTGCACCCATTTTCCACAAAGCCATTCCCACTCGCAGTTCCTTCATGTACTCGTCAAAGCCTTTGCTATCTACCAGGTGCCATCTTCCTACAAGCTGCCAAATGGTGGCCATGGTGGGCACTGAGTGGAGGGCATGCAGAGGAGGCAGACAAGTGTCAGGCCACACTATTCTTTTTTGAGAAATTCTGCAGTAAACCGCTATTAGTAAATTTTTCCCGCAAGTTTTTTAAAAAGGTCAGAACCTTTTCCCAAGTTATCAGCTAAGGAACAATCTTTAGAAAAGTCTACCATGAGGAAGAGTGCCCCAAAATTTGATTATAGACAAATAACTTGATTCAGATGACACTTTGATATTCTCTAGTTGCTCTACCTCATGGTGGCTTGGCAGCCATTGTGCTACAAGAATTATTACAGTCATTGTGAACTTTCTGGTACTCTTGATGTCAGCAATGTGCGTAGAAAAGACCACTCAGAAAAAGCTGGATTTTAACCAGTGAATATTTTGTCAAACAAGACGAAAAAAGTGAATATTTGAGTCATTAAAAGGTTATACATTTTTATTATGCTTTAAAAGTACATTTATAAGTCTAAAAAATTTATGCAATTTTTAACATTTTAACAAATTTCCCTTAAACATACCAAGCTCTAATGAATTTAATGTATTTCCTTTCAAGAATTTTGTCTTGTTAACAACCAAAATCTCAACTATCTCAATTTCTTCTGTAAATCTAATAAACTGTACTTATTAATGAGATCTTAGGTATTCTTAAGAGTTCAAATAATGTTTATAAATTTAGTTAGCAACCTAAAAATTGCAGTTCTATAGCATTTAATCAATCAAATGTGTTATTACAAAAGATTTAATTCTTTTAAACTTTAAGTGCCTCAGAATACCAAATACTTGCAATTATCCCTAAATTTAATACAAAAATAGTAATCTGTGGGTTTGATTTGTGCCTCTGTTTATTTTTGAATCTTCCCAGATTTAAAAACACCATTTCTATACTTAATTCTGATTGTCCTTAATTCCACAAAGGAAGCAATTATGCTATCTCAAATAATTTGGGGGTACCCTCCCAGGTAAATTTTGGGGTTACTTTTATAGCTGGTTGAAATACATGCCAACTAGAAATTCTATCTAGGCATCCCAGAGCTATAGCCATTTAGGGTGATTTTTCTCAAGATGAGGAGGAGGAAGTAAAGCATCTAAACACTAAACAGTTGCTTGTTAGAGTTTTGGCTCATAACCAAAATAATCTTTTATTGATTCTAATTCATAGTGATCCCATACCTACACCTACCGAATGGTATGGCTTTCAGTCCATGATCTTCAGGGTCAATCTGTTCAGCCCCGTATCTTGATTTTTCTTCTCATTGAAGTCTTCAGCCCTCAATAAATTTGTGGGTAACCTTTAACATTGCTTTGATATATATTTAAATTTCTCTCGTAGATTGTGTATATTTTCTGGATTTTCTTCACCTTAAGAGGCTTTGATTTGTGATAATTTCCCCAAAATCATGTTGATGGAAGCGACAATGGTGAAACATATACTTTGGACATGTTGTCAGAAGGGGCCAGTCCTTGGAAGAGGACATGATACTGAGAAAGGTAGAGGGTCGGAGAAAAAGAACTCCAACAAGATAGGCTGACCCAGGGACTGAAACAATGGGCTCGCTATATCAGAGATGATGAAGATGGTGCAGAATAGAGCAAGATTCAGATCTGTTGTTCATAGGTCACTGTCAGTGGTAGGTGACTCAGTGGCAGCTATTTATAACAAGAACAACCAGGTCTTAACACACTTAATGGAATATTTGTTTTATGAATGAGATTGTGAAATAAACTTAAGTCTTTTCACATCAAGAACATTACACTAAAACACTAAGTTACTAAAGTAACGTAAAGAATAATTTAATACTTACGTGCACTAAAACACTAAGTTACTAAGCACAAAGTTACTAGTTAAGTGTATGCTTATAAAATCTGAAAGTTATTCTTACCACAAACATTACCTGTAAAGTAGTTGGAATATGTTCTTATTCTAGTGTGTTATTACATTAAGCAAATTCACTGCCAAAGCCCTCTTTAAAGTGGAAAAAGCAAGAATTTTATTTTAAAGGCTAAGGTGTGCCTGACCTAAATTAGAGTATTTTTAATAGCTTCACATCTTGGATTGTCTTGCACTCCCAGAATATATGCATATATATGCTATATAATGTAGAAGTTATTATATCGCACTAAAAAACATGGAGAATAAAGTCAGCCCATTGGTGGCCTCGTGGCAAGAAACTGTGATGTAATCCCAAAGACATGTAGTCCAAGGCCACCACCTGCTCTGCAGGAAGAAGATGGGCAGTCTCTTCCCATGTGAATAACTGCCTCCGAAACCCTGCTGTAAGGTCAGCTATGGCTCAGTTCTGACTCCACAATGCACAATAACAACAACAAAGTTAGCCCAGGAGTAGGAGCTGGGAGAGACTTAAGGGATCACCAAGAAAGAATTGACAAGAATAGAATTTGGGGTTTTTTGCATCTGGGAACTGTACTAGGAAGCCCCTTGATGTCAAGGGAAATCAGGACACATGACGATATCCAAGGAACATCTGCCATATAGATGCTGAAGGAAGCAAGGATGTTCCTCTTCAAAGGACAGAATGCACCTTCTCCTATAGCTATCACCTTACATGTGGACTTCTAGCCTCTTGAACGGTAAAAGAATAAATTTCTATTTGTCCAAGTCATCCACTTGTTATGTCTGTTACTTCAGAGGGAGATCTGGTGATAAGGATTTGCCCTGCCAACTCAAAGTCATGCAGTTAAGTTCACCAGCTGCTCCATGGAATATAAAGATGGGCAATGTTCTCCCATTAAGTTTACGGACTCTCAAACTCATTACAGGGTCAGCTATGAGTCGGTTCTGCCTTGGTGATACTTAACAACAATGATAGCATTAGTTAACTTCATATATATGTGACAGTTGTCTAGTAAATAAGGAAGCTCAAAGAACTATTGATTTTGAATTGTGGTGTTGTCAAAGGATATTGAATATATCATAGATTAAAAAAAATTAACAAGTCTGTCTTAAAAGGACAAAGTTCTCCTTAGAGGTGAAAGTGGTGACTGACTTTGTCTCAAATACTTGGGGCATATTATCAAAGGGCTAGTCCCTGGAAAAGAACATGACACTTAGGGGGGAAAGTAGAGATTCGTCTAAAGAAAGGAAGACCTTCAGTGAGATGGATTGACACAGTTACTGCAACAATGAACTTGAGCACAAGAGATTTTGAGAACAGCTCAAGATTGGTTTCATTCTGTTGTATAGAAGGTCACTATGGGTCAGAACCGACTGGAAGACACCTAACAACAGCAAGCTTATTTATCTGTAATACTTTTAGAAACAACAAACTTGGTTTTCATGTTTCTAAAAATGGGTTATTTCATTAACTTCTGGAACCACTGCCCAGCACACTAGGAAAAGCCCGATTAAGACTATTTATTCCAATTTAGTTCTAAACAGTAAGACATAAAACCCGCATGACCTGTTTTCTGTTGAAACAAGAATAGTCGCAGAGTCTACATTGTTTTGCTGATTTACCTCCACACAAGAAAACGTGTGATCTGAACTGATAGATGCCATTTGTCCAGACAAGAATCCCTTGTTCATGTAAGATAGATACATACCTAAATAGATAGGCACTGATCATTTTTTTCCTTAATACCTCAGTTTCTGTGTTTGTCACTAATGCTTACTTTCTCTTTCTAGTAAGTTGTTAGGAGGTGGAATTGAAAGTATGGCAATCACAGAAGTTTTTGGAGGTATGTAGAACTTGAATATTTTGTTATGTGAAATCTATATGTTGAAAGAAATAATACTAAATTTTTTATTTTACTTTATAATAATTTTGTAAAGTAAAATACAAAATTTGTATTTGTATTGTGTAACTTATGAGAACCTCTCAATTATTATAAAATTATTATGGGCTGCAATTAAAATATTTACCAGTATTAATAGATGGGCCTTATTAGCATTTTCCTTCTTTTTATTTCTGATTCCTTTGTTGTTGTTATTGTTATGTGACCTCAAGTTGACTACTATTAATAGTGACCAGATCAACAACAGATTGGAACCCTGTCCTATCCGGCACCATCTTCACAATGTCTGAAATGCTCAACCCCATTGTTTGTCACTGTGTCAGTCTGTCTTGTTGAGGTCTTTCTCTCTTTCTCTGACCTTCCACCTTGCATGATGTCTTTTTCCAAAGACTGGCCTCTTCTTCAACGTGCTCAAGTTTCCACTTCCTTGCCTCTAAGGAGCTGTGTGATTGTACTTCCCCCAAGAAAGACTTGTTTGTTCTTTTGGCAGTTGATGGGATGTTAAGTCTTCTTTGCCAACGCTGTAATTAAAATTGGCCATCCTTATTCATGTCCAACTTTAAGATGTGCAATATGAAATTGAAAATACCATAATTTTTATCAGGCACACTTTAGTCTCTAAACTCATGTCTTTATTCTTTAGCATTTTGGAGAAGTCCTTGACATAAGATTTCCCAATACAACACATCTTGATTTCTTGACTTGATATTGGAAAACATCATTATTGGGTATCAACTCAGCAACAGGCATTTCATGGGATAACAAGTAGCCTTGTTCAGTCTCAAAATGCCTAGTTAGGCAGTTTTAAGGTTTCAGTGTAACAGTAGTTTTCAGAAACAAACTTGAAAGACAGAAGTTATTTTAACCCTAAAGTCATGTCAAGGAATTTTAAAATACAGTAATGACCTGATTTTGTGGGCACCTATTCTTGTAAGTAATAAAATTTAAGATATGTAATCTAAATGTTCTATTTTCCCTAAAAATAAGGAAGACATTTTAATAAGAAAATAAAAACAAATAGTAGCAGCTATGTTAATTTTAAATAAGATTTAAAAATAAAGTCACACACACATACAAAGCTACAGTTAGCTTGGCACAATGAAGACTAAAATTTAAGACATGAAAGATGAGCTATGTAATAAATAGGGTCACAGTCATAAACTGACATATCTTTTCCCTCCTAAGATGCTAAAATTGTGCTCTTGTTGTGTTTGAAAGCAGAGTTTACAAGAATGGGTATGAAATAGCTGTACAGGCCAAG